GCCGCAGCTGCCGCCCGCCCGCCCGCCCGCGCTGCCCGCCCCGCGCCGCTCCGCGCTGCCCCGGCCCGCCGGCGGCTGCGGCCGGCAGCACGCGAGGGGAGCGGGCACCTGCCCAAGGAAAGGCGGGCGCGGCCGGGAGTGGAACGGGGGAGGGGGGCACACACGGGACGCCCTGGCTCGCCGCTCCGTAATGCAGCGCGTATTACTCAGTGCATTCAGGGATTAGCTCGACTTGAAGTGTGGGGAGATTTCTGCGTCTCCCTGCTCCTCGCCTCTTGGAAAGGGGAGAGGGGAGAAGCGCCCCCACGGTGGCATCCCGCCCCGTCCCCCCTCCCGGTTCGTCCCAGAGCGCAGCAACTTCCAGCTCCCAAGCGAGCGAGTTCTTAGCGTGTCAGGCCGCACAATGCGGGGCTAATTCCTGCTGCAAAAGGCAAGTGGTGAAGAATCAATCGCAGGCTTTATACAATCAAAAGGGATGATGGGCTTGGGGTTGCGAATTTTCTCTTTTTTTTAAGTTCCCTGCCCCAGTCTGAGTTTCTCCTGCTCCTAACCCCCGTCCTATTAATAATCCCATGCAGGCGATTGCAGACCGAGGTAAAGCTATCATTTGTATGCGCCTGAAGATTAATTTCCCCCATGTACCAACTCAACGGCATAGTTATCTCTTTAACAGGGAAAACAGTTTGGCTCCATTGTCGGGTTGCCAAGACCGCCTTTTGAGAAAGGGAGCCCGGCTAGCCTCTGATCAAACTCAAAGGTTAGTTAAAAGACAAAAACAGCTGAAAATCTTCATGAATAATGCTGTTTCCCCGAGCCCAGTATAGTGCAAGCGCACATTTCAATGCCAGAGCATTTTGTTATGCTGCTCGCCTAAGTCAGAATTTCACAGAAAAGGCAGAGAAGAAAAGCTCCAACAATTAGAGGGGGCCTGTCAGAAAACATTAACGCCTTCCTCGCCCAGCCTGTCAAGCGTGCTGGAAATAAAAAACGGGCATAGCGAATCGCACCTCCACCCTCCGGAGCTGCAGGAGGGAGAGAGAGGCGGGGCTAGAGACAGAGAAGTAAAGAGAGAGAGACAAATGGACAGGCCCAGGCAGTTA